GGTGTTAGTGTAGTGGAGGTTTGTGATGAGGTAGCACTGCCTGAGACTTGAAATATATCATTCTCACCCTTCGCGGAATTTCCTCTTGGTCTAATGGTTAACATGTTGGTTTCCTGAGCAGGAGACCAGGGTTCAGATTGCACCCGTAACAGTTTTAACGTTCCTCCAAGAAGGAAGAACCCATAGCTTGCTATTCGCTGGTATAGAAGTTAGAAAAACACAGTTCTAGAGAAACACTACATATGCAGTGTCGTCTGTTACCATGGTAAAGACATTACACTAGGAAGGAAGCTGCTAGAGAATAGAACATTGTTGTTATGTTTAATGACTTGGGGAGATAAAACAAATAAAAAACAGAAAGATGAAGATCTGCATCCTCAAACCTGAGCCATAACTACCACTACAGTCTACCCTGGCTGAGCCATAACTACCACTACAGTCTACCCTGGCTGAGCCATAACTACCACTACAGTCTACCCTGGCTGAGCCATAACTACCACTACAGTCTGCCCTGGCTGAGCCATAACTACCACTACAGTCTACCCTGGCTGAGCCATAACTACCACTACAGTCTACCCTGGCTGAGCCATAACTACCACTACAGTCTACCCTGGCTGAGAGCCATAACTACCACTACAGTCTACCCTGGCTGAGCCATAACTACCACTACAGTCTACCCTGGCTGAGCCATAACTACCACTACAGTCTACCCTGGCTGAGCCATAACTACCACTACAGTCTACCCTGGCTGAGCCATAACTACCACTACAGTCAAACCTGGCTGAGCCATAACTACCACTACTGGGATTGAAACATTACTAGAGCAGGATAATGTTGATACTGGCAGGTAGAAATATCGGGTGTGATCACCGGTGACATCACAAAACAATCGAGCCCTGCCCAGAAACCACCCTAGGCCTACTCAAGTCTATACCCTTAAATCTGAGAGGGTTGGATAGGTATAAGGAATAGGGTGAAGTGTTCACCTGGCCTGTCTGAGGGCAAATATGACTAGTGGTAGATATCGCGCAGCCAGGTTTGACTGTAGTGGTAGATATCGCGCAGCCAGGTTTGACTGTAGTGGTAGATATCGCGCAGCCAGGTTTGACTGTAGTGGTAGATATCGCGCAGCCAGGTTTGACTGTAGTGGTAGATATCGCGCAGCCAGGTTTGACTGTACGGTGTACAAATATTACCATATTTTTCTATACCCATCCAATTCTTCAAGATCCACACAAGGGTCTAGACTCAATAGTAGGGGTCTCTTCTAGATGGGGCCCATTGCATTTTTTTGCTGAAAGACAATCTAGCAACACATTTCCTTACAGAGAGAAAAATGTAAGCACTAGCTACATAGCTTTTGACCCCGAGCCACTCATACCAATAGAATATATTATAAAAATCAATAACACAAAACCATATTTTCAGAGTTCTCCCCAGGATTTTGGACTCAGAGATTGTTGCATGTTTTAACACCTGTAAATGCAATTTCCTGCAATCTAGAGCAAAACATTGCCTTAAAATTATAAAATAAAGTTGCAATATATATATTTTAAAAAATATATATATAGTGGCACAGTGCCCCGCTTACATTCTTTGGGGAGAACCATGATATTTAGAAAATTAAAAACAGAAAACACATTATTATTATTATTATGTAAAATGAAAAACAATAATGCCCCAATCAGATACGGTGTAAAATCAGTGTTCTGCAACTGTGTACATTACAACAACAGGTATTTACATACAAGATCCAGACTCTTATTTGGGTTGAACAACATCAACACCTCCTCCACCTCCTCCACACCTCCTCCACCTCCTCCACACCTCCTCCACACCTCCTCCACACCTCCTCCATGCAACTAGTCAGAGTCTGATAGAATTTGAAATCTCCATAAACAAAAAAACTCTCAGTAAAATATATCAACTACTAAAACACGATAAGTAACATGATAAAAACAGAGATATTAATGAATCTATATAAAAGCCTGAGGTATATGTGATGTCAGAAAGTTTCTGTGTAGTAAACAGTTGAGAACTAACATATAAAAAGTCATCTTACAGTACATTCACAGAGAGTCGTCAGTTAAAAAGCACAAAAACAGAGAATACATGAACATTATCTATCGTTGATGATCCTTGAGTAGTGAGCAGGGTTAGGGTCAATTCCATTTCAGGAAGTACACTGAAATTCCATTTCTCTTCAATGCTTTTCAATTAGGAAAAAAATGTGGAATTTGGAAATTCCAATCTGAACTGATTGGAATTTAAATGGACTTCATCCCAACATGGGCGGACTGGGACCAGAAATCAGCCCTGGCATTTCAAACACTGGTCCATTTTATTCCTTGAGGCCCCCACAAAGGCAAAACATTTTCTTGAAGGCCCAAAAATCTGACAATTTTTTCCCTCAAGGTAAAGGGCTGAACCCAACTGCAGCATGAAAAATGCAGACCGTGCCACAATGATCTCTGTCGGGACCCACAGGTCCCGGGGGATGCTTCTAAATCGTTGCTCGAGAGAAAGTCTCTCCAACACTGCTCTCTTCAAACTATGTCTAGCCTATTGGCTGATATATCCCAGTAATATCAATAGTCTAATATGAAAAATGGGCCACGTGAGAATCTGTTTCTTCGGTTATTTTTACGCATTTTGCTATTGCCTAAAGGGCGAACGTGGCTGGCAAGTGAGCTGCTTCATCAGATACGCCTAAAGTGAGATTGCTGGACTGCGGTTGGGTTCGGGACCAGTTCTTGTGGTAGCGGGTGGGAGTCGGACAGAAAGCCAGCAGGTATGGGCGGAATTAATAACATCAGTCCTGCGCAGACTTCTACTTCAAGGCCCCCCCACACCAGCCCATCTCTTTCCTTTAGGCCCCCCATTATTAGCCAGATAATGATCATTTTGCGCAATACAACAAGTTAGACAGGCCATACCGGGCTAAAAATGGACCAGCCCATATGGAATTTGCCCGAAATGCCAGTCCGCCCCTGGATCCCAACCCTGGCAGTGACTGTATCAGCAGCATTGTGTGGACATTCACTGGTATGTTATGGTCTGGTCATATTAGCCTGGTTCCAGGTGTGTTTGTGATGTTTTGACCATAAGAGTTGGCAAGGCAGCGCAAACAGTTCTGGAACCAGGCTAGTCTTGTATGCAGTTGAAACCAAGGCAGCCACTGAGTTTAGTTTTTCCTTGCATGACATACAGGTTGCCGAGGCAACTGAAACTTAGTCTCACAAGTCAGACAATTGTTTCCAAAATGAAAGACTGGAAATCATAGATTTGTGAAACTGGTGTGAGACGGAGTCTACTGAGCAGACAGAGATATTAACTCAAGCATGGCCCTTGTGACTGAGAATCAATAACAAATACTTATTCACAGCTTCAAAAAAAAAAAAATCCTCTCATTCTATTCCACAAGCACACAAAAAAAAAAATCACATCCAGAACGTGTAACATAACATTTCAGTTTCAGATTGCATTTAGTAATGCCGGGTATTGGCGAAGGTGTTTCAAATAAAAACCCAGCTATATCGTCCAACACAGATAGCTTGGCTTCTCTACATGTGTATAAAATGTTCTAATAGGCTGGAATCCTGAGAGGTAGTATTTTGTCCAGATCCTTTCCAAGTCCGTTCATCCAATGTTATTACTCCGGGGCGTCCGGGCCGTCTTGCCCCCCTAGCTAACTGTAAATGCTGTGCTACTCTGTAGCTCAGCTGGTAGAGCAAGGTGCTTGTAACGCCAGGGTAGTGGGTTCGATCCCCGGGACCACCCATACGTAAAAATGCATGCACGCATGACTGTAAGTCGCTTTGGATAAAAGCGTCTGCTAAACGGCATATTATTATTATTACTACTCTACTGTTAGGCCTGGTTCAGGCTGTCGGTGTCGTTATTTCAAGGTGTTCGTAGCCAAACAAAGATGGACATCATAACGCTGAGTAAAGAGCGACGTTTCATCCCGAGGAAGATAAATATGTTGAACAGTCTCGTGGTTCCTCTGACATGAGTCGTGTGGATCTACAGTGTGTAGGCTATCGTTCCAGGCTGAGTGTGTGTGTGTTTATCTAGTGTGTGTGTGTATCGTTCCAGGCTGTGTGTGTGTGTGTGTGTGTATCGTTCCAGGCTGTGTGTGTGTGTGTGTGTGTGTCTACACTGTGTATCGTCCAGGCTGTGTGTGTGTGTGTGTGTGTATCGTTCCAGGCTGTGTGTGTGTGTGTATCGTTCCAGGCTGTGTGTGTGTGTGTGTGTGTCTCTACACTGTGTATCGTTCCAGGCTGTGTGTGTGTGTGTGTGTATCGTTCCAGGCTGTGTGTGTGTGTGTGTGTGTGTGTGTGTGTGTGTGTGTGTATCGTTCCAGGCTGTGTGTGTGTGTGTGTGTGTGTCTCTACACTGTGTATCGTCCAGGCTGTGTGTGTGTGTGTGTGTATCGTTCCAGGCTGTGTGTGTGTGTGTGTGTGTATCGTTCCAGGCTGTCTGGTGTGTGTGTGTGTGTGTGTGTGTGTGTGTGTGTGTGTGTGTGTGTGTCTACACTGTGTATCGTCCAGACTGTGTGGTGTGTAATGTATCGTCAGAGGTTTGGAATACGGTTAGCTTTCTTTGGCTGGCCGCCATCTTGCCCAGACGACAGAGTGAGGTAATAATAGAACCCACTAAACACAACATGAGGTATTGACCGAATAGAAGATTTGACAAGTTAATGTCTTAGAGATGTCTTGTCCACCATATAGCTTATTTCTGTCATAGTTGTTTCTCAGAGAAAACTACAGAAGACTGATGGAAGAGAAGAATCGACTTGATCCAGAATAAAACATATTTAAAAAAACATAAAACCCTTAAAAACAACACCACCAATACGAAGATGATAAAAATAGCAGCTGTATTCAAGTTGTTTAAAAACCATTTTTTTAGGCTGGAAAAGTCAGGAGCATCAACTGTCGCTTGTTCCACTTCCGTGATGATGTCACTGCTGTGATGTCATAATAACACAGAACTCAGGCGCTGGATTCTTTGGGAGGTAGGTCGTCGTCGTCGGTTACTGACGTTACTATGGAGACTGGGCAGTCTGAGGTAGTGCTGACGGTTGTCCTGGTGATCTGGGAGATGCGTTCCTCGACACAGCCGGCGGAGAGACGAGCCTCGGCGTCATGGTCCCAACACTCCTCTATGGTCTCACACAGCTGAGATAGACCCTGTAGCACCGACACACACGCAGCAAGAAACCAGGAGGTTACAGGAAATACAGCACAAAGGATCATACGATTTTTTTGAAGTCCCCAAAGAGTTGAATATAAAACACACCTGATTCAACTGGTCAACTAAACATCAAGCTCTCAATGAGTTGAATCAGGTGAGTTTATGGAGGGACTACACTAAAATGAGTGCTGGTGGGGGGGGGGGGGGGGGTACTGGAGGACCAGGGTGTGGGGGGTACTGGAGGACCAGGGTGGGGGGGGGGGGTACTGGAGGACCAGGGTGTGGGGGGGGGGGGGGGGGGGGGGGGTGGGGGGGGGGGGGGGGGGGGGGGGTACTGGAGGACCAGGTGGTGGGGGTACTGGAGGACCAGGTGTGTGGGGGGGGGTACTGGAGGACCAAGGTGCTGGGGGTACTGGAGGACCAGGGTGTGGGGGGGGGGTACTGGAGGACCAGGGTGGTGGGGGGTACTGGAGGACCAGGGTGTGGGGGGGGGGGTACTGGAGGACCAAGGTGCTGGTGGGGGGTACTGGAGGACCGGGGGTACTGGAGGACCAGGGTGTGGGGGGGGGTACTGGAGGACCAGGGGGTACTGGAGGACCAGGGTGTGGGGGGGGGTACTGGAGGACCAGGTGTTGAGGGGTACTGGAGGACCAGGGTGGTGGGGGGGGGGGGGGGGGGTGGGGTACTGGAGGACCAGGGGGGTACTGGAGGACCAGGGTGGTGGGGGGGGGGGGGGGGGGGGGGTAACTGGAGGACCAAGGTGTTGGGGTGGGTAACTGGAGGACCAGGGGTACTGGAGGACCAGGGTGGTGGGGGGGGGTACTGGAGGACCAAGGTGGTGGGGGGGGGGGGGGGGGTTACTGGAGGACCAAGGTGTTGGGGGGGGGGGTACTGGAGGACCAGGGGGTACTGGAGGACCAGGGTGTTGGGGGGTACTGGAGGTGTACTACCCCAGTATTTTATCCCAGTGTACTACCCCAGTATTTTATCCCAGTGTACTACCCCAGTATTTTATCCCAGTGTTACTGACAGGGTGTTTGAGCCAGGTGTCCTTGAAGACCGGTCTCATCTTCTTGTGAACCACCACATCCTGAAGGTCCCCTAGAGACGTGTGCTGGCCAATCTCCTCCTCAAACGGAAGCATGTACTCCCCTACGGCACCTGAGACAGAGACATATGGCACATATTAAAATATATATTAGATATCAAACAGAGACGGAGGGGGTGTGGTCTAGCACTTGACAAAGAGCTATAGAAACGTGTTTGTAACAGGGGGGATCCTGAGCATCCTACCCGTCACACACACACAGCAGTGATTCTCACCGTCTGTGGCGATGCATCGTGACACCAGTTCCCAAAGCACCAGCCCCATAGCGTACATATCTATCCTCAGGAAGGAGTCTCTCTGGAAGTTTATAGCCCCCTCTAGAACCTCAGGGGCCATGTATCGCCACGTACCCACCTGGAGGAGGGAGAGAGAGAGGGAGAAGGGGGAGAGAGCGAGAGAGAGAGGGGGAGAGACAGAGGGAGAGACAGAGAGACAGAGAGACAGAGAGACAGAGAGAGAGAGAGAGAGAGAGAGAGAGAGAGAGAGAGAGAGAGAGAGAGAGAGAGAGGGCTAGTGAGTAAGCGTAAGACCTGTGTGTGTGTGTGTGTGTGTGTGTGTGTGTGTGTGTGTGTGTGTGTGTGTGTGTTAAACTACCTGTCCGTGGGTGTCTCCTGGAGGTTTCCCCGGCTCAAACCGGACCGCCAGACCAAAGTCACCGATGATGGCTGTCAGATCATCTCTCAACATCACGTTCTTACTCTTGAAGTCCCTGGGAAACACAGTTTATATATAACCTGTAGGCTTTATAGATGACCATGTTTATCTAAAATCAGGTAAGTTATTGACTTTGAGAACACCCGATGTTACCTGTGTGCGATGGTGGGTTTGGAACCTTCTGCCTTGATGGGTGTGTCTTCATGGAGGTAAGCCAGACCACGGGACATGGTCTCAGCAATATGACACATTTCAGACCAGGTCACCGTACTGCCCTTCAGATGGTCAGTCAACGAACCCTGGACACACACAGACTTGGATAAAGGGGCTTTTGACTATGGCTTACATGACAAACTGGAAGAGACCAAAACATGAAGACAACATGCCCTTCTATAAACGAATAGATTCATTTGATTATTAATTGATCGGATGTATTTCTCACCCGTTCGTGGAACTCCACGATGAGCCAGAGCTCAGTCTCCATGTTGCTGCCATGTTTCTCTGCAGCGATGTAACGAAGCAGGTTCTCGTGTCTCATACCAGGAGTCAGGAAGATATCCCTCTCATTCTGCCATGACTGCTTGTCCTGCACACCCATACAACCGTGCGTTATAATAGAAATATACAGCAACACACCCATATTTATTTTTAATCAAATCACAATATATTTATGAAGCTCTATTTCCACCAGTAGTGTCCGGTAACCCGGCCTAGAGCCACAAAGCGGAAGCACGGTGGAAAAGGAAAACTCCCATGAAGGAAGAAACCTCAAGAGAGAACCGGGTTCAGCGGGGAATCATTTTCTGCCATCACCTGTATTCACCCAGGGCTGAATGTTAATATCCCATAGACCAGGGGTGTCAGGCATACGGCCCGCGGGTGGTTTGAGTAAAGAACATGTTCAGCCCTCTAGAATCGATGTCCACTCCCCGCAGAAATCAGTTTTACCAAATGGAAAACTGTGTAGAAATGACAATGGACCTACAATACACTCATACAGTTTGACTGTCCGGCTCTCTAATAACCACTAGACAGTCATAGAAGATTTACCAAGGAAATATAACACATTTTCAGTGCGGCCCTCTGGACGTCGTTGAAGACCGAATGCGGCCCATGGGGCCAAAATGAGTTTGACGCTACTGCCATAGACTTAAGCCCTGCATGTCTTACCTGAACAGGGAAGACCTTTACAGCCACATATTCGCTCATCAGCTGAGCCTTCCACACACAGCCGAAGCGCCCCCTAGCTTTCACCTCCAGTAACTGCAGAGGCTTCAGCCCCACCATGGGAGAGGGAGGGGTTTGCCGAGGGTCCTGACACACAGACAGAGGAAAGGGGAGAAAGCGCTACAACCTCATGAACAATTCCATATCACATTCCATCAATTCCATATCACATTCCATCAATTCCATATCACATTCCATATCACATTCCATATCACATTCCATCAATTCCATATCACATTCCATCAATTCCATATCACATTCCATCAATTCCATATCACATTCCATCAATTCCATATCACATTCCATATCACATTCCATCAATTCCATATCACATTCCATCAATTCCATATCACGTTCCATCAATTCCATATCACGTTCCATCAATTCCATATCACATTCCATCAATTCCATATCACATTCCATATCACATTCCATATCACATTCCATCAATTCCATATCACATTCCATCAATTCCATATCACATTCCATATCACATTCCATCAATTCCATATCACATTCCATAGCACATTCCATATCATATTCCATCAATTCCATATCACGTTCCATCAATTCCATATCACATTCCATCAATTCCATATCACATTCCATCAATTCCATATCACATTCCATCAATTCTCTGATACTTTCCTTGATCTTCTTTATGTGTGGGTGTTTGTTTACACAGGCAGCCCAATTCTGATATTTTGCCAATCAGATCAGATCTTTTGCCAATAATTAGGCAAAATATCAGAATTGGGCTTCCTGTGTAAACACAGCCTTTGTTTCTTCAAACAGTCTTGTTTGATCTGATATAGGATCATAATGAATAAGGAATTTGCATTTCAGATCATGATGAATAACATTATATGGTCACAGGGGGACTTGATCCTAGATCAGATGATATGGTCACATGGGTGACCTGATCCTAGATCAGATGATATGGTCACATGGGGGACCTGATCCTAGATCAGATGATATGGTCACATGGGGGGACCTGATCCTAGATCAGATGATATGGTCACATGGGGGGACCTGATCCTAGATCAGATGATATGGTCACATGGGGGGACCTGATCCTAGATCAGATGATATGGTCACATGGGGGGACCTGATCCTAGATCAGATGATATGGTCACATGGGGGGACCTGATCCTAGATCAGATGATATGGTCACATGGGGGGACCTGATCCTAGATCAGATGATATGGTCACATGGGGGGACCTGATCCTAGATCAGATGATATGGTCACATGGGGGGACCTGGTCCTAGATCAGATGATATGGTCACATGGGGGGACCTGATCCTAGATCAGATGATATGGTCACATGGGGGACCTGATCCTAGATCAGATGATATGGTCACATGGGGGGACCTGATCCTAGATCAGATGATATGGTCACATGGGGGGACCTGATCCTAGATCAGATGATATGGTCACATGGGGGACCTGATCCTAGATCAGATGATATGGTCACATGGGGGGACCTGATCCTAGATCAGATGATATGGTCACATGGGGGGACCTGGTCCTAGATCAGATGATATGGTCACATGGGGGACCTGGTCCTAGATCAGATGATATGGTCACATGGGGGACCTGATCCTAGATCAGATGATATGGTCACATGGGGGACCTGATCGTAGATCAGCACTAGTTGAAGTGGTGTGGTCTCACCTCATGGAGGTCAACATCTCCGTAGGGTGATTTTCGGTGTCGGTACATCCACAGAGCCAGTAGCAGGGTCAGAGACAGAACACACAGAGCTAGCAGACTGTACACCAGGATATTCAACAGAGACGGCACTCTGGGAGGGGGACGGATTTTCACTGGTGAGGAGAAAAGATCACAGAAGGTCAAAATCAAAATCAGTCAGTCAATCAGATGTTCACTGTGGAAGGGAACACAATCAACATCTTTATTGATATCTAAATGTTTTCCTTTTGGTATATTGTGATGCCTGATATCCAGTCTGTATGATTTGTGTTCTGATTCAAAAAATTTAAAAAAACGATGTTTTAAGAATGGGGTTCAAAGGTCATGTCCACTCACCTCTGTTGCCGGCGGCGATGAGGTCAGGTAGGTGTGTGAACCCCTCGTTGCAGTAGTTCCCCTCACAGCAGCAGAAGAACACCTGGGGATTCACTTCGCTGGACACACACTCCTGCCTGACGAGAGACACACATTCTATTACTTCAATGTTACTCTCATACGTCTGCAGTACTGCTAGAATGATTTGAGTAAGGCCATTGTAACATCATGATGTTACATAGTTGATTTGTATTGCCATAGTATTGGCGCATAGCATTTTTTGTTATTACACAAAGTGGAATAAGGACCAGTGCTTCCTATCCCGTGAGTCTTATCAAAACACACAAGGAAAAGGTACTAAGCGTCTGGGACCTGGCATAGCAGTTGGTAAGTAGTGTCTTGTAACTGTCATAGCAGTTGGTAAGTAGTGTCTTGTACCTGGCATAGCAGTTGGTAAGTAGTGTCTTGTACCTGGCATAGCAGTTGGTAAGTAGTGTCTTGTACCTGGCATAGCAGTTGGTAAGTAGTGTCTTGTACCTGTCATAGCAGTTGGTAAGTAGTGTCTAGTACCTGTCATAGCAGTTGAAGTCATCCAGCCAGCAGCCTTTCTTCACCAGTTTGATGGTTCCTGAGATGTTGAGCCAGGAGGAGTAGCAGTGTAGTCTCTTTTCCTTCTCCCCCTCACACCTCTCCACACCACTCTGGTTGGTACGCTCTGTACGCCAGTTATCATTGTAGTACACACACTCTCTGGTCTCCACATCGCCATGGCCCCAGCCTAGTGGAGAGACAGGAGAGAGGAGAGACAGGAGACGAGAGACAGGAGAGACAGGAGACGAGAGACAGGAGAGAGAGGAGAGACAGGAGACAGGAGACAGGAGAGAGAGGAGAGACAGGAGACGAGAGACAGGAGACGAGAGACGGGAGACAAGAGACAGGAGAGACAAGAGACAGGAGAGACAGGAGAGACAGGAGAGACAGGAGAGAGCAGCATTAATGAAATGAAATAAACCTCTAAATGTTACCTGTAATGCTCATCTCCTTACTTTCATACAACCAGAAATCGCTCTGACATTCCTGGTTGATAAAATTCTAATAGGTTTGCCTAATTTCAGTTTGTTTCAAAACAAGCAGTCATTGTGTAAAAATCATTGTACCCTCTAAACCACTGTGAAGTATATTTTCAATAACCAAACATTTTGTAATTTCAGCTGGTGTACAAAAACAAAAAACTTAAGAATGGGTAGCATAGAAATAGTGCACATAGGACAGATCTACCGCTTCTTAAGAAATGCTTTCAAATGAGAATGTCAGATCTATAATGCACATTTCTATGTGAATTTGGTCGGGTCTCCCAAAAAGTTACATATTGCAGCTTTAAAAGGCATGTACAAAATCTGGTATATGGTTTGCCTCATTACATAGTCTACTGACATCATTTTAAATGGAGAACATATAGCTCAACATGTAAACAATGTATGAGTGTATCTATTCTCTGCTTCAGTTGACAGATGCATGGTGTTTGGGGGTGGCATACGCTAGCTAGCACGCAAGCTAGCTACAACAACTCCATCAACAGAACACTGCACATTTTTGTAGAAATGAATGGTCCAAATACCAAATCGGATTAATGTCATTGTTTATTTCAAGGTCTTTTAAATTATGCTGATCTGCCTGATCTTCATTGGCCAATATAACTCGCAGGATATCAAGGCAGCCAATGGGTTGTGTTAGCCATTATACCTGGATTTAACGCTGCTAGCTAGTTAGCATGTGGCTACCTATAGCTTAGATTGACATTCAATGTCTACTATGAAGGTAAATGTGTATCTTGATTTTGTGTAACAGTACAAGAAATGCTGATGTGCTGTGTTTCAAGGTTGCTAGTGGTTAGCTAGTAGGGGTAGCATGTAGCCTCCTGTAGCTCAGTTGGTAGAGCATGGCGCTTGCAACGCCAGGGTTGTGGGTTCGTTTCCACACGGGGGGGGGGGGGGGGGGGCGTCTGCTAAATGATAAAAATGAAAAATAAATAAATTAAATGTAATTAAATGTAAATGTAAGCCAGCAGGGGTGGAAAAGGGGCTATGCTAAAATCCTGCACGCTACATAAGTGATACAGAATCAATGATGATAAGGACATGGTCCAATAGGAGGACTCGCTATGATGTGGGTCTTTAGCGTCTTATGGACAGTGGCTTCACTCCTGCTGTGTGTTCACTTGTGCGTTCTACTCTTGACGTCTCTTTTCCGAACACTTTTCCATCATAACTTCGGTCAAATTTGGATAAAATATAAATATATATATATATATTTCTCCCAAAATACAAAATGTAAAGTTATATGTTGTAAGGATGAAAAAAAAAAATCAGAATGTTTAACAGCAACCTAATTCTGCGAATCTTCCCTTTAAATGGACTCAGGAACCACACCTGTGTGGAAGCACCTGCTTTCAATATACTTTGTATCCCTCATTTACTCAAGAGTTTCCATTATATTGGCAGTTACCTGTATAATATTTAATATTTTAATATTTAATTTTAATATGCCATTTAGCAAACGCTTTCATCCAAAGCGACTTACAGTCATGCGTGCATACATTTTGTGTATGGGTGGTCCCGGGGATCGAACCCACTACCTTGGCGTTACAAGCGCCGTGCTCTACCAGCTGAGCTACAGAGGACCACATACTATACAGTAGCTCTATGCTGCTCTCACCAAAACAGCTCACACCTAGCTGGTAACGCCATGAACTGAGAACCCCATTAAAAAAAACAAAATGAGCATGTTCTATTGGACAAGTAGCCTACAGATAGTTACTCAGTTATCTTCTGTTTGATGCCTTCTGAACGCGACCCTGATAAACGTCTTCAATGACGTCATTATACCACCTTGATATATGCCGGGTGAAGACACCACAACCATGATAATGACTGTAGCGTTCCAAATGGCACCCTAATCCCTATGGGCCCCTGGTCAAAAGCAGTACACTATATAGGGAATATGGTGCTATTTGGAACACACACTGTAACCTGTCTGCGTGAGGTAGCTACTTCTATAGACAGTTTTTTGCTTTAAAAAAAGAAAAGGGGGGTGGGGGGCAATTTGCAGTTCAAACAACAAAGAGGACACCCCACCACTATTTTGGAGAACAATCGCAGATTGCCCCTTTAACTAGATGACTAGAGCACATCTGGGAAGGAAGATAAGGAGTTTCTCTGAGCAGAGTAATCATCTTTGAGTTCTAACCCCAAACAGCCCCCATTGAGAGCAGTGGTGTCAGTGGTAGAATAGGCTACTGGGGCAGGAAAAAAGTTGTCATGTTGACTAGGACTTCTTCACAACAACGGAGGAGAACACTAGCTTTTAGACCTGTAGGCAATTATTTTCAAATACATTACAACTGTTTTTAAATGTCAGTTGAGGTTTAGGCCTTTTTCATTCTCGTGGGTTTATTCACTTATTGAATAAAACTGTGAGCTCATTGTAAAAAAATAAAAATAAAAAAAATCAACAAAACTGTCAATGTTTTTGTGTGGATAGGAAAATATCAGAAGTGATGTCATCATAATATGGTTTGGACGTAGCATGTAGATGTTTCTGATCTTTGTTCTCTGGAAAAAAATAAATAAAGCCTGTCTCTTTAAATCCCTCTCTATAGGAGCCCGGCCGCCTACGGTGGTATTCCTTTTACCCGAGATGAAGAGGCAAAGTGAGAGGTTTCAAAATCTGTCCAAAATAAGCCCAATGTGTTTCTATGGGCTTATTTCGGACCTAAACTTGTCGCCTGCCTTCCCGCCGTTGGGGCGGAGACATGAGCATCTCGTCATTAGGCCTAATCTACCCACTAGGACCACACACACCCACACACGGATGAAAACATTATCAAAATAAAACGGCACTGTAAAAGCTTATTTCAACAGAATAGGCGACATGTCTCTTAGCCTACAGGAACAAGGGCTGCAACCATTGCAACATGCCTTTATAGTGGCCCTGTAATATCAAGTCAGTAAAAACAGAGCTAAAACATAGAGCTAAGCTAGCCTACTATACAGAGCTAAAACAGAAAGCTAAACTAGCCTCCTATACGGAGCTAAAACAGAAAGCTAAACTAGCCTACAACCAGTGTACTAAATACAAAATACTAGAGCTAAAATAGCCTACTACACAGAGCTAAGCTAGCCAACTACACAGAGCTAAAACAGAGCGCTAAGCTAGCCTACTATACAGAGCTAAAACAGAAAGCTAAGCTAGCCTACAACCAGTGTACTAAATACAAAATACTACAGAGCTAAAACAGAGAGCTAAACTATCCTACTACACAGAGTTAAAATATAGAGCTAAGCTAGCCTACAACCAGCGTACTACACAGAACTAAAACAGAGAGATGAGCTAGTCAACTACACAGAGCTAAAACAGAGAGCTAAGCTAGTCAACCACACAGAGCTAAAACAGAGAGCTAAGCTAGTCAACTACACAGAGCTAAAACAGAGAGCTAAGCTAGTCAACCACACAGAGCTAAAACAGAGAGCTAAGCTAGTCAACTACACAGAGCTAAAACAGAGAGCTAAGCTAGTCAACTACACAGAGCTAAAACAGAGAGCTAAGCTAGTCAACCACACAGAGCTAAAACAGAGAGCTAAGCTAGTCAACTACATAGAGCTAAAACAGAGAGCTAAGCTAGTCAACTACACAGAACTAAAACAGAGAGCTAAGCTAGTCAACTACACAGAGCTAAAACAGAGAGCTAAGCTAGTCAACTACACAGAGCTAAAACAGAGAGCTAAGCTAGTCAACTACACAGAGCTAAAACAGAGAGATGAGCTAGTCTACTACACAGAGCTAAAACAGAGAGCTAAGCTAGTCAACCACACAGAGCTAAAACAGAGAGCTAAGCTAGTCAACTACACCGAGATACTGTACTACACATGGACTCATTCTCCAGTGATCCCTGATGCTACTGCTGATAAGTGGTCCTATGACCAGAGGACTTTAACTACTAGAATACAGAATAATCCCCCAACCTCTCTCTCTCTCTCTCTCTTTCTCCCTCGGGTCACTACAGAAGCCTGCCCTTTACTATAACATCTAATCAAATTGTATTTGCCACATGCACCGAATACAACAGGTGTAGACCTTACAGTGAAATGCTTCCTTAAAAGCCCTTAACCACTCTGGAGAAAGTGCTTACTATGATTTACTATGCCTAGTCATAATCTGTCTTAGTCTATAGACCATTTATAAACATCAATGGTATACAACATCATAATTGACTGTTTAGAAGAACCTTATCCCCCCTACTGTGTGGTCATAATCGGTTTTCCACTTCTATAGACCAGTTATTAAACACATTATGTACATTAATGGGAATATATTTTACATAAAGACAGTGCTTGAGTGGTAACCGTGTAGCTCAGTTGGTAGAGCATGGCGTTTGCAACGCCAGGGTTGTGGGTTCGATTCCCACGTGGGGCCACTATGAAAATGTATGCACTCACTAACTGTAAGTCGCTCTGGATAAGAGTGTCTGCTAAATGACTAAAATGTAAATGTAGCCAGCCTGATAAATGGTGTACCGATGAAAACAAACTACATTGAACAAAAAGTAACAACTGGTCGTCAAACATCTCATTCCAAAATCATTGGCATTAATATGGAGTTGGTCCCCCCTTTGTTGCTATAACAGCCTCCACTCTTCTGGGACGGCTTTCCACTAGATGTTGGAACACTGCCGCGGGGACTTGATTCCATTCAGCCACAAGAGCATTATTGAGGTCGGGCACTGATGTTGGGCGATTAGGCCTGGCTCGCAGTCGGCGTTCCAATTCATCCCAAAGGTGTTCAATGGGCTCTGTGCAGGCCAGTCAAGTTCTTCCACACCGATATCAATAAACCATTTCTGTATGGACCTCGCTTTGTGCACGGGAGTATTGTCATGCTGAAACAGGAAAGGGCCTTCCCCAAACTGTTGCCACAAAATTGGAAGCACAGAATCGTCTAGAATGTCATTGTATGCTGTAGCGTTAAGATTTCCCTTCACTGGAACTAAGGGACCTTGCCCGAACCAGAGTCCAATGGCGGCAAGCTTTACACCACTCCAGCCGACGCTTGGCATTTTGTTCCTGACAGTTTGTGCAGAAATTCTTCAGTTGTGCAAACCCACAGTTTAATCACCTGTCCGGGTGGCTGGTCTCAGACGATCCCGCAGGTGAAGAAGCCGGATGTGGAGTTCCTGGGCTGGCGTTGTTACACGTGGTGTGTGATTGTGAGGCCGGTTGGACGTACTGCCAAATTCTCTAAAACGACATTGGAGGTGGCTTACGGTAGATAAATGAATATAAAATTATCTTGCAACAGCTCTGGTGGACATTCCTGCAGTCAGCATGCCAATTGCACGCTCCCTCAAAACTTGAGACATCTGTGGCATTGTGCTGTGTTACAAAACTGCACATTTCAGAGTGGCCTTTTATTGTCGCCAGCACAAGGTGCACCTGTGTAATGATCATGCTGTTTAATCAGCTTCTTGATATGCCACACCTGTCAGGTGGATGGATTATCTTGGCAAAGAAGAAATGCTCACTAACAGGGATGTAAACAAAATTTGTGCACAAAATTTGAAAGAAATTAGCTTTTTGTTTGT